TTTATTATATCAACTCTGTTCACAAAGAATCAAGCAAGTACTCAACTATCCTCATAGGTATAAACAGGATTTGTGTAGCCTTTTCCTTTTCTCAGTCACCACAAAAGTTGTTTCTCTTAGTTTGAGGAAATCAGGACACCCCCAAATTAGGCTTCCAAATCACAATCGCAGGTTATAGCAGCTCAGTACTCATTAAAAAATGTTCACAACAAGCTTTATGTGTTTTATTCAAACAGTTAAAAATAAGGCAACTGAGAATTAAAAAGAAAATAAGGCAGCTGAGTCTTCTAATCTCTTACATATAGCTCTTTGCCACTTGACGCTATGTTGGTAAGGAGGGTAGGGGAGCCAAACCTGGGTTTGAATAAAAGACTCTCTGCTTTTGCATCAGAAAAAAAATAAATAAATAAAAAATCTTACATATATATTCCCATTTATACATATATGTTGATCTGAAAGCTGTTCCTAGGGAAGGTGAGCTCAGATACTATGAAAATAGAGATAGTGAGAAAAGGAAACAGAAATAGAGTGGGGATTCATTCAGGGATAGCCTAAAGCTATGGAGAAATATTAAGCAGCACCACAAGGCTTTAAATTTTACAACCTGTGGGTCGAGACCCTTTCACAGGGGTCACCTAAGACCATCGGAAAACACATACATAATTACATATTGCTTTTGTGATTAATCACTATGCTTTAATTATGTTCAATTTGTAACAATGAAATTGGGGGTCACCGCAACATGAGGAACTGTATTAAAGGGTCGCGGCATTAGGAAGGTTGAGAACCACTGCTTTAAAAACTAGATAGCACCACTAGGCTGGAGGTCCCAACTGTCTACTCTATCAGTTTAAAATTTCCCCTAGCAAATTCACTAATAGGTTAGGCATAAGGCTGGTGACTTCTCTCAAAAGCCTTACTTAAAATGCATAAGTTGCTTCAAATGGGTTTTCTACTTCCCTCTTATTAGCATAATAGCAGAGATTAGTTTATTAGATTAGTGAGTTAATCTGATATCTCAGTGCTTAAGGGAATAAAATTATAGGACAGATTAATTTCAGAGTATGATAGAGTATGACAGTGATGAATAGTGGGAAATAAAAAACAGAATAATGTGGTGAAGTCTCAGGTTTGTAAGGGATTCAAAGGGTATACTTTTATGTAGAAAGCAAATCCAAAATCTTACAAGTTTTGAATAAAAGATTTCGAGTGCTACTTTACTTAGTTTGGTAAACACACATAAACACACACATACAAATATCCTACATCTTGTTAACAAGCCAAGAAAAGACATCTTTAACTCATCTCTCTCTGTGACAGTTGTATGTCTATGCAACATTAGGTCATTTCTCTGGGGCATCAATTCTCTGCCCTGAGTGTGGAACAATAGAAAGTCTGATACTTAACATGAAGAAAACTGTCTCAACTGCAACTGTGACTTCTGCCTCTGCTATTTCCTCTTTCCAGCACCATCCTCAGATTACTGACCCTTCAGTTTAGCAGAAGTAGCTCCCTGGGTGGCCTATTTCTGATGAAATCAACTACTTTTGGCTTCAGTAGAATATTCTTATCTGTGTCTAATGCCCTAATAAGGTCAACAAGTTCAGGGTGAACAAGTGAGTGCTGAAAGTCCAGGAAAATAGACTAGGAGACAGAGATGGTCCCTTGCTTCTGAAAGTTCTCCTTACACAGAGATATGTATGTTAGGCACTGGCCTATCTAGTGTAATTTTAGAGGCATCAAGCTGGTCTCCCCTAATCTACTGAGATACATTAGATGCTATAGAGAGAAACTGGAAAGAAGGTAGAGAACAGAGACGGAAATATGTACAGGAAGTAGAAGCAGAAGGTCACAAAGACAAACCCTGTTTGGAGAGAGCCCTACTAATCAGACTTGCCTGAAATGGAAAGCAATTACAGCCAGTTTCTTTGAAAGGCCACCTTGGGCTTTGCCAATAGCATTAAATTCTTAGTGAATTTCCATCTCATTGACCCAGAGGGCCTCAGACTCTGAGATCAATACTTTAGTAACAAAGCTGGTGCCAGACAGTGCTGGGTGGAAGACTGAATTCCAACTGAAATGAAATGTAAGGAAGCTTTTATGATAACTCTTGGTCCTACTATTTTATTCTCTGCCATTAAGTGATATATGATGATCCCTCAGCAGCCCTGAGTGTTATTCAATCACCAGGCAACAGACTACAGGTACACCTCGTTTTATTGTGTCTCATGTTATTGAGCTCCACTGATGCTGCACTGTTTTTTTTTTAAACAAAGTAAAGGAAAGACCCTTCACCAACAGAAAGATTATGACTTGCTTTATTGTGGTGGTCTGAAACCGAGCCTGCAGTATCTCCGAGGTGTGCCTATACACAGCATTTGAAGTTAGAAGTGTTTGCTCTTCTTGTCTCAGTGTATCAGCCTGTTGCTGAAATGCTCCTAGTTAATAAACAATGTGGAGAAGGTAAGACTGTAAAACCATGATATGGCCACATAAATACCACCTTTTCTCCTTTGGGAGCCCTTGAAGGTTTCATTTGTTGTAAGGACACTGCTAATTCTGTGGTAGTCTGGCTACTGTGAACCTCAGCTTTCAATCCTCTGAGATGTTTCAGAATGAAAGAGCAGATCAACTAGCAAAGTTTCTCTGGAAACTGGAAGGCCAGGGAGGGCTGGGGGGCAGGAGGGAGGGGGGTAAGAGATCAACCGAAGGACTTGTATGCATGCATATAAGCATAACCAATGGACATAAGACACTGGGGGGTAGGGGAGGCCAGGGGATTGTCAAGGGCTGGGGGAAAAAAAAGGACACATATGTAATACCCTTTGTAATACTTTAAGCAATAAAACAATAAAAAAAAAGTGTAAGTCAAAGAGACCAATTCTAGATTGGTCTCTTTTTCTTAAATATGTGGTTGCCAACTCTTACGTGTTAAGCATCAGCAGCAGTACTCAGCAGTACTTGTGGGGTTTATAATAAAATCCTCTTGGGAATATCATACAATTTTTGTTTATTTGTTTAAATTTTGTGCCCCAAAATGCTAATAGTAGAAGACTGTTGCTACCTATCCAATTAATCATAGGATTGAGTTAAAGTGGACCTGAAGGATCCATTACTGCAAAGAAAAGGAAGGAAAAAGGACATTTCCTAAACACTCTGTATGTACTATGTACTATTCTAGGCATTATACTTACTACATCTCACTTAATTCTCAACAACTTTAGGAATTATTATCCCTTTTATGTAAATAAGAAAACTATATCAGAAACATGTAACTTTCCAAAGGTCACAGTTCCTAGAAGAGGTGAGATTTCTAAGCAGGTAATCTGACTCAAAAGTTCATGTTCTTTCCACTAGTTTATTTCTTTAAGTTTCCCTTTGAGAGTAAATACCAGGAAATCTGCTGTCTGGCTTGATATCATCATCAGAGCCTGGAACTAATTTTCTAATGAATCAGCCTGAAGTGGGCTGAGCAGCATGCCCACAAGCAGTTGTCTCTAATAAGGCTGGGTGACGAACATGCCGAGAGAGTAATAAAACCTCAGTCAAATTTGGCCGATCTTTTTGAGCCAGAATAAACTCTGCATTTGCAACCTATGTTGTTGGTGTCTTCTTTGTTTCCAGGAAATCAGGAGTAGACCTGCTTTTGAAAACACCAACTTAATTAAAGGAATAATTCTTTGAAAAAAGGTAATGTGGAGAAGTAGAAAGAACACACCCCTAGGAAGATAGAGATCTAGTTCTACCCAAGAGAATGGGAAACAGTTTCATATTTAGTCTGGTTTGTTGAGCTGAGGAAGATTTTTAAGTCAGGGTCAAGTCCATCAGAAAAGAGTGCTGGGGTGAATCAGTGCTGTCTGCCATTGCTGAAAGACAGGGGAGTGGTGGTACATACCATGTATTTGCCACCCCTCTTCTGGTCCCTCCTCCTTTCTCCCACCTATTAACTTGATGTTGGACAAGTGATTCAGAATTTTTAAGGCCTTTTATAGTAAAACTAGAGTTTTAATAAATTCGTGCATGGGGGGGTGGTGGGAGGGGTGGCGTCCCTCAGTCCGGCCTGCACCCTCTAGCAATCTAGGACCCCTCGGGGGATCCAGGACCTCTGGCTCCTAACCGCTCGCCTGCCTGCCTGCCTGATTGCCCCTAACAGCCTCTGCCTTGGCCCCTGCTGCTGCAGCTTCGTCTGGAAGGTTGTTTGACTGTCCGGTCTAATTAGCATATTATGCTTTTATTATTATAGATGGGAATAATGGCACCTTATTTATCTAAAGGTAAAGTGGCCAGGGGTGGGCAAACTTTTTGACTCGAGGGCCACAATGGGTTCTTAAACTGGACCGGAGGGCCGGAACAAAAGCATGGATGGAATGTTTGTGTGAACTAATATAAATTCAAAGTAAACATCATTACATAAAAGGGGACGGTCTTTTTTTTTTTTAGTTTGCCCACGGCTGGGATAGACCAACCGATCTCTTAAGTTGGTCACCAGTCTTTTTCAGCTATGAGATTTAAGATTCAATTTTCCAGTGTAAATTTAATACTGGCTGGGCTTTAATGAGATTAGTCATTGGTGACTTTTAACAATGGTATGGCTTTTAAAAGGGCAATCGCAATTTTAAAGTGATTCTGCTCTAAGTCAAAGAGATGGATAATATATCAATTCTTTCTTCATATCTGAAGAACACTGAAGAAGTCTGTTAAATGGCAAAATTAATTATAGCCTGGGATCACCAATAAGAACCCAGAACATTATTTAGGAAAAATACAGGAATGTACAGGAGCATTCTGCATATCTATGCAGATTTTGAATCTCAAGGAAATAACAACGTGAGAAAATAAATTAGTTAATCTCACTATAGCCTTGTCTTGAGAAGAAACAGAGTTATTTCCTGTATGTGAAATGTTCAATGGAGAACACTTCTCATTGCTTTCAATACCCATGCTCCCTGCAGTAAAAACAAAATAGGTTCAGAATTGCTTATTACAGATCTATGGCTTACCTGGGATCACAGAGAAATTTGGTTTTCTCTCCTTCTTCTCTCCAGATAAGCCATTCTCGAAAAGAAGGATGTACAAACATACGAGTCATGTCTCTGCGCTTGATCAGAAACATGGAGAGGTTCTCCATTCTCTGCTGGAAGTCCTCCCAGTCCAGTGTGCCTTCAATGCTGCCAGCATTGATGGCCTGGAAGATATGCTCATCAGTCAGTGGGTGGAGAGAGGCCACTGCCACATTCAGGAGGGGCATCACCCGGTCAAAGGAAGACTGGGTTGGGAACTTCATATTGCACTGGAGCAAATAAACCTCAGAGAGCGAAACAGGAACTACTTTGTAGCTAGAGCTCTTTAACACTAGATAGCCTTTCTCTATGAGGTCAAATGTGAGTTTCAGGTATAAATAGGACCCTTGACTGAGGGTCTTGAGATGAGAACTGAGTTTGCCAAATGTAGTATTGTCCATTTTGCCATTAAGTGAAATGTTATTCTGGATTTCTGAGCTGCTGTGTATCCGGTGCAGGATGTAAGCCTGCAGGTCCTGGTCTATGGCTTCATTCTCTTCTAGTCGATCCAAAAAAATCCTATGGAAAGGCAGCAGCTTGGTAATTTCCTAAAACAGATGGAGAGAGATAGACAGAAAGACCTTCAGTTTCCCCTAATTCTTATAATAAACTATGGGGTTAAAAAATTATTTTGAACTTCTGAGTGGCTAAAGAAAACACAATCAAATATTAGTATGCATAGATTAAAACAAATTAGTTGCACAGGAGGAACATTCTTCCTAATATTGAGACTTACGATAATTTTATGGTTCTTCATAAAGGATACTTTAGGAGTGATTTAATGGTCAATATTCTAAATAACACTTTAAAATAAACAGAAAATGGAGTACCATATAACTTTTTTTTTTCTCAGTGTAAACTACGGCATAATGTCAAAGTAAGAAATACACAAGGACTCAAAGAACGCCATATAAAAATGTAGCTTTCCAACCTTCCAAATAAAATGATGCATTTTAATACAGACCTTTTGAAGACGCCTTAGCCCAAAGGAATATTTCTAATAGTAGAAAGTGTGGTGCCGTGGTGATTAGCTTGGACATTATATTGGGGAGGTGATAGGGCTTTGTGGTGACTCATATTCTGGATTTCATCTTTTGTCATCTGCTTACAGACTTTGCTCCTGTAAGTAACCACTCTCTTTCCTGCCATCAATTTCTTCTCTACTATTGGATCACACAGACCCCATAATTCCTCCCCTCAGCTATATCTCAGTTCCCATTATTTTTTAAAAATATATTTTTATTGATTTTTTACAGACAGGAAGGGAGAGGAATAGAGAGTTAGAAGCATCAATGAGAGAGAAACATCGATCAGCTGCCTCCTGCACACCCCCCACTGGGGATGTGCCCACAACCAAGGTACATGCCCTTGACTGGAATCGAACCTGGGACCCTTCAGTCCGCAGGCCAACGCTCTATCCACTGAGCCAAATCGGTTAGGGCTCAGTTCGCATTTTTTAGTAAAATTTCACATAAAAGTTTTCTCTATGTACTGTATCTAATTCTTCCTTTTCCATTCTCTCCTCCGTTTGTTGCAATAAGGTTTCCACACCATCACCTGACTGAAATGGTTAAGGTTATCAGTAATCGTCACCTTGTCAAATCCAATAATCAAGCTGCAGTTTTCATCTTCCTCAATCTCTCGGCAGCAGTATTTGACACAGGGGATCACACCTTTCTCCTTGAGTCACTTCTGCAGCTTGCTACCCTATAGCATGTTCCCTTAACTTTCCTCTTAGCACACTGGCAACTCCTACCCAGGACTTTTTGCTGGTTCCTTCTTCATTTCTCAGTCCTCCCGGGCTCAGGTCTCCATTCTTTTATCCAGCCACTCACTCCCTAAGACAGTTAATTTGGTTCCATAGTTCTAAATTATCATCTCTATGCAGATAATGCCTAACTTTGTATTTCCAGCTTAGTCATCTCCCTTGAGCTCTCCTCTTTTATTTCTGTCTACTAAACACTTACACTTAGATGTTTCATACACAAACCTAATGTGACTAAATCAGAACTGCTGAATTTTGCCCCCTCCACAAAACCTTCCCATGTCAATAAATGGTATTATCACAAACCCTACAACCAACCTGTAGGAGGTATCTATGATCTTTCTCCTTTCCTGCATTTACCCAGTTGCTCACCAAAACCCCATGATTCACGCCTGAATCTTCTCTCTTGCTCACATCCACATTTAACCCATAAAATCATTTTAATTCTTCAAAATGTTGTACAAATATGACTTTACAGGGTCTCCATCATCATCACTTTAATCTAAGCCACCATCATCTTTCACCCATATTTCTGCTTCCATTCTTGATCCTCTACATTCTATTATCTACACAGCCAGCAGCCAAAGAAATCTTTTTAAAAGGTAAATCAGATCTCATCACTCTACAAGGCTCCTTGAAGAAGCCTTTCCTATCTGTCCTATCTAAAATAACGATCACCCCCATTTATCCCTTTATCCTATTTTGTCTTTGTAGCACTAATACTACCTATAATTTTAATATATGTATATATAAGTTTTTACTTGTTTATTGTTTGTCTTCAATAGAACATATGCTTTATGAGGGCAGGGAAATTGTCTGTCTTGTTCATTGTTGTATCCTTAGCTCTTAGCAAATGCCTGACACTCCTGAAGAACTTAAGAAATGTAGAAATAATGAATGATCAATACAAGGGTTCATTGTTTAACACCTATAAATTATTTCACTCTCAGAGCTGAATGAAAATAATTTTTTAAAATTCTTAGTTGAAGTAAATGAAGTATCTGGGAAGTCTATAACGACACTGAAATTTGGACTTTGTAGATTAATATGCATAAGACTTTTTCTGTTCTTTGGCATAGCTGAAAGATGAAAGTTATACTTAAAAAGCCTTTTGAGATTACACATTGCATTATATAAAAATATAAATGAGGATAACATTTCCTAAGCATAGATTTAATAAAATTAATCAGAGATGAGTGTTCCTAGAAGTTTCTTTTATTCATCCTTCATCTTTAACAACGAAGCTACTGACCGATAATGGTAGATTATATAATTTTTATTTGTAAAGAGCATTTATGTTGATTCATTCACAGCCTTTGATTCAAATTACTTTGAGATTAATAACAAACATCTACAAGGTGGTAGCCAGGATTAGAAGTATACTTTTTGAAAGAGGGCAGTAAAGCTAATTGGTTAATATACAGGGATGATACTAAGTGCCTGGGAGGGGAGAAAGAAGGGAAGCAAGACCACTTTCTGTACATTAGCAATTGTTATGAGGGGGTTGCATCAAAATACAGTAAATCCTCACTTAACTTCATCAATAGGTTCTATAGCTTTAAGTGAAAGAACATATAACGAAACCAATTTTATCATATGCTAATTGATACAAAAAAGAGTTAAGTTCATATGGCATCGCATCAGTGTTATAGCGAAACAACACTGAACAAAATGTTATTCGAGGATCTGCGATAGGTGTATAATATATAAGATTTTAGTGTTCATCAAAATATTTTAATATTTGCCCTAACTGGGTTGGCTCAGTGGATAGAGCATCGGCCTGCAGACTGAAGGGTCCCAGGTTCGATTTCGGGTCAAGGGCATGTACCTTGGTTGCGGGCACATCCCCAGTAGGGGGTGTGCAGGAGGCAGCTGATCGATGTTTCTCTCTCATCGATGTTTCTAACTCTCTATCCCTCTCCCTTCCTTTCTGTAAAAAATCAATAAAATATATTAAAAAATATTTTAATGTTTATAAAAAAGACAGCTTGTTAGGGGAAAAATGTTGAGAAATCCTGTTGCAAACAAGTGTAAATAAGTAAAGAATGAGAGATACCAACTCAGCTACAATGAGAATGGCATAGAAGGTGGGGTCATTTATCCTTCGACCATATGTTTTTACAGGCTCAGTTCCACATTCCTAGTGCTTCGTCCGGGCCATTAAGTGATCAGTGAATGAGCAGGGAAGGTAATTAAAAATAAACCTTATCTCGGAGTTGTAGTAAATTTAACCGCAAACCTTAATATTGCCAAAAGTTCTTAGAGGAAGGCACATAGAAGTCCACCATCATGCTATAGAAAATTTGTTCAAGTAGAAGCAGAGGGAGGAACTAGAAAATCTGACTCTAGATTGTACCAACTTTAACATGGCATTAAATGATAAAAAATATAAAACAAAAGTCAAGCAGTAAATTAGAGTGTTAGGAACTCTATTTGCATTGCTGTTTGTCCTCAGGACAATGTCTAGAAAAATGGACACTTTCTTTTCATGCTATTTTGAAGGACACTTTATCAAAACTTACCCAGAGCAATAGGAATGAGAATCGGAACTAAGAGAGTCATATACAGAGAATGTGCTCTCTAAATCGTATGTCTTACTCTCAGAATAGGCTCTTAGGGAATTATCCTTGCTAGGGCTCTAGGAAATGGTAGAGGTTTAGTAAACCTCATCACTAAAGGAAAAGGACCTAGAACTTTTTCAGTTTAAGCACTCTCTAAGGGAAATAATTTATGTTCCAAAGCAAACACATACCTGTAAACTGGTCCTAACTGTTACAATTAGTTTGAGCCAGGAAGGAAATTTTCCAATCATTTTACTCAGAAATGATACAATTGTATCCCCATAATCCGGTTTGTGAAATTCTGCTTCATTTAATCCATCAATTAAGATGATGAAATCTTCATCTGGAATTTTTCTCTCTGAGGTAGAAAGAAACAAATTACTTAATAATTACCAAGTGGATAAGTGAGTTCTTTATGGGTCTTTGATTATATATCTGGTTGGGGCAAAAAATACTAAAAAAAAGGCCTTTCGTTTGTTTACTGAGTGCTCAGAGTACATAATTTATTATAAAGACAGAATAATTCATGTAGTGAATTCATTTTGTTTTCATCAGGTATAAAAGCTTTTGTCACATATATATTAAATATATGTATCATCATCATTTCCCCCCATGTTATCAGATGTGAGACAGGCAGAGCACTACATTTATGACAATCTGGACATGGTAATCATGTTCCTTTGGGAATTAAAAAAAAACGAGGTTTAATTTGAAGTCCAAAGCAGTATAAAGGACTACATGTGAATGTGTAGTGAGAAGGAAGGGATGGGGGAACAGAGAAAATGAATCCCAACCAATAGACAGATTTTAACGAGGCAGGTTGGACCACAAACTCCTATAGAACTAGCAGCCTCCTAGACTATCCCTAAAATAGCTTCAGTGGGATCAGACCCTTCCGTGATCTTCCCAGGGGATAAGTCACGTGAAGTATGCCATGCTTGTATTCAGTTCCCTTCTGAACTCTATTCTATCTTAAATTGACAAAATCAGTTTGTCCTTAGGGCGAGGCAGTATAAGAAGGCTTGGTAAAATTTCAAGCTTCTACTCTCATTAAATGAGAGTATAAAAGCTTTTGTCACATATATACTGTAATATTTTCAAGAACTGGCACCCTAAAATAGGCAAGGTGGGAATATTTATTTAAACAATGGAAACTGGCAATTGTTACAAGCCCTCCTCCTGCAGCTGGTTGTTAAAAATTTACCAGCAACACCACTGTCTCCACTGCTTCAATTACACTTCCTTTAACTTCACCAGACTCCTTCACAAGAAAGCCATGATTTTCAAGTGGAGAAAAAGGTCTGATGATAATGCACTTGCAGAGATTTTCTTTGGGAAAAACATTTCAAACACATTCTCGAGCATTAAAGATCAAGAACTTGCGTTAAATTATGATGTAGATGTTTTAATGAACAAAACAATTCAATGCCTAATAAAATTAAATTTTATTCATCCCATGAGTAAACAATGTATCGTTTCTTAAAAAAAAGAAGTACCTTACTTAAGATAATTATATTATTCTAAATCTTGACTTTTTTTTTTTTTTTAAGATTCTCTTCTTTTGAAGGAGTTACTTAGAAGTCACCTATGAATACAGGTGCTATTAGGTGTCAAAATATTTCCCCTGTTAAGAAATAAGGATGGCATGTTTATCTAAAAATATATTATTTAGGATTCAGATAAACAAAGGCAAAGAATTTCCAAACAATACTAATATTGCAAAACACTGAGAACTATTCCTAAATTTCCTTTTTTCTTTGCTAAATGATGAAGTTTTTCAATTATCAACTTAAAAGGTAAAACTTTGAGGATCTTTAGACTGTCTTTCAAATGCAACTAGCTTTATAAGAATGTTCCTACATGTTCATTTTCAAACCTTTGTAGGTTATTAAAAACATACTCTAACTTAGTAGCTTTTAAAAGATTTCACAGACAAATGAAAAATTTAAAAATTACTACTTATATATTTAAATGTGAGAACATTTAAAGTACAACTACTATCCACTATCACCATTATTTCATAGAATAAAACAATATTTTAACATTAAAGAAGTAAAAGAGACATAATCTATCTAAACTTTACATATATGCATATGCAAAACTACATCTATATTTATAGGTGTTTCTTTTCTTTTTTAAAAATATATTTTTATTGATTTTAAATAGGAAGGGAGAGGGAGAGAGAGAGAGATAAAAATATCAATGATAAGCCCTAGTTGGCTTGGCTCAGTGGATAGAGCATCAGCCTGTGGACTGAAGGGTCCCAGGTCCGATTCTGGTCAAGGGGACATACCTGGGTTGCGGGCTCAATCTCCGGTGGGGGACGTGCAGGAGGCAGCCAATCAGTGATACTCTCTCATCATTGATGTTTCTCTCTCTCTCTCTCCATTCCTCTCTGAAATTAATAAAAATATATTGAAAAAAATAAATATCAATGATAAGAGAGAACATTGATCAGTTGCCTCCTGCATGCTCCCTACTGGGGGATTGAGCCCACAACCCGGGCATGTGCCCTGACCGGAAATCGAACCGTGACCTCCTGCGTCATAGGTTGATGCTCAACCACTGAGCCACCCCCAGCCGGACTCTTTTCTTTTTTTTAAAAAAATGGAATCTATGGGGGTGACATTGGTCTACATAACCATACAGGTTTCAAGTAGGCTGTTTCTATTTTCTTATTTTGCCATGGACTAATGAAAACCTCAAATGGACTGGTTCTTAAGAACCACTGTTCTAGTTGACAAGGCTTTGTTTTGTTTTGTTTTTAGCTGACAAGTCTTTGGAAAGGTTTCCTAAACACTTTAATCCTTGTGTTTTTTTTTAATTCTTTTTTTTTTTATTGCTCAAAGTATTACAAAGGGTATTACATATGTGTCCATTTTTTCCCCCCGCCCTAGACAGTCCCCTAGCCTCCCCTATCCCCCAGTGTCTTATGTCCATTGGTTATGCTTATATTTTAATCCTTGTTTTTAATCCCTTGTAAATATATATATTCGCCAGGGATTCCTCACTGCCCTCACATGTATACTTAACAAATACTTGAACTTTCTTCCTTACTAGTCCCACTGTAAGACTCTACTTAGGTATCTGAGAGAAATAAGAATTATAGAAACAGTATGAGATGAGATGGTAGCAAGTACCAAAGTCAGAAGTGAATCCCAATGCATGATATTTCATTGTTGGTATATTGTATAGAACTTATCGAAAGTGAAAAGGCGGCTCATATTAGACAACATTTTTGTTCAGACAATCTGCGTATTACATGTGAATTACCTTCCTTTTAGTTGTGATAACATATTAGTATGATCTTTCACTTCATATTGATGGCTGAGAAACTTCAATGTACAAAAAATAATTAAATATATTTGTGGAGAAATTTCAAGATTTAAACAAGCCTAGGGTCTGGTAAAGCTAATAGGTATAGAGATATTCAGAGATCATCAGAGTGGAGAAGAGAAATTTTGATAGTTGAGTAAATAGCACGAAGGCTGAAATAGCTGAAGATGGTAGCCAGGAGAATGGAAATTATAATCACTTGTTCTTTCTTATGAGTATCTCCAAAACTCTCAAGAAAGGTAAATAATTCTCCCAGGAATAAACAGGATTGCTGAGGAATCTCATGCTTTCTCAAATCTTTTTCTTTGGCTTCCAGAATTGACAAAAAACATTGTTAAAGGGATGGGGTGGGGATAGGGCAGAGATGGGTAAAGGAGGAGACGTTGCACTTACGCCATAGTCAACATTAGAAATGCGGAGGAAAAGAGGAGGAAGGCAGAGGCATGAGAGGGAGGATTCCATTTCACCCCTTCCCTGACTTAAAAAAAAATCTTTATGCCTTTTAGTGGTCAATTAAGTTATTTTTAGTATATATATATAGAGTTGTGCAGCCTTGGATGCCATTTCCTTTTACCTGAACTGTAGAGTAATAAAAAGCATCAAGCATAAAGATGGGAGGTTTCTAATAGTGGAAACTCCACAACACTGAGTTGGAGCCATGATTTTACTGATTTATTTGAACTTCACAGAAAGGACTGGAAATTCTACTATGTTTACTACAAGAAAGATGCATTATATTTGGAAATGATAATGAGCATATTTATAAGGAAAGGAGGAAGTGGCACTTTCTATAGGAATTTTTATTTTTCAAGTAAAATCTTTTATCTGTTAACTGTATTCTGTGGGACATCAGCTATGGAACATTTAATTTTGGCAATGTGATAAAAAAATCATTTCTGTAACATGCTGCAGGTAAACTCGGGCTCCAAAGCCTCCACCTTTTATCTTCTTTGCATCTCATCTGTACCTTTGTGGAGATTCTCCAGGGGCTCCAAGACACCCCTCCGGAAAGAGGCCATGGGGTCCTGAACACAGGACCGAAGGCTCAGCATGCTCTGTAGGTGAGGCTCCCGAAGAAGCTGCTCCCGATAGGCCGCCAGCTGAGGGGAGCGGCAGAGCAGGGCAGCAACATTGTGGACGAATTCTGGCACCAGGCAGGTGTAGGCATTATCTGCTTGGCAATAATGATAGGCAACTACCTACAAAAGAAAGATGAGAATGCAGACAGGTTTACCAGTAGCAAGAGCAACAGCCACGATTATTATCTTACCTAACATGGTTTTTTGTTTCCCTATCCCTCAACTTTTTCATAAAAATAAAAGCTGCTGACTCAGCCTGGCTAGTGTGGCTCAGTGGTTGAGCATCGAGCTATGAACCAGGTCGATCCCCAGTGTGAGGCGTGCAGGAGGCAGCCGATCAATGATTCTCTCTCATCATTGATGTTTTTATCCCTCTCTTCCTCTACCTTTCTCTCTGAAATCAATAAAAATATATTCAAAAAGAAAAAGCAAAAAAACAACAAAAAAACCCCCAAAGCTACTAACTCAGAAACTGCTTGATTTATCTAAGATCAGAAATTTGATAACATACTTTTACTGTATACCAGTGGTTCTCAACCTTCTGGCCCTTTAAATACAGTTCCTCATGTTGTGACCCAACCATAAAATTGTTTTCATTGCTACTTCATAACTGTAATGTTGCTACTGTTATGAATCGTAACGAAAATATCTGATATGCAGGATGGTCTTAGGCAACCCCTGTGAAAGGATCGTTTGACTGCCAAAGGGGTCGCGACCCACAGGTTGAGAACCGCTACTGTATATATATATCATAATTATAAATCAATTAATATTTATAAATACAAATGAGTTTTTCCTCTGGATTATAAGAAATAAGAAGCAAGCCTGAGAATAAATATTTACATTAATCTCTCTAATATTTATTCAGCATAGAGCAGTATAGGAGTCTGATTTTATAACGAAGTATTAGGAATAAGATATTCAGAGAAAAATCATATGTCAGTCTCACCAAACGCATCTGTTTATGTCATCACATTTTAAATTATAGTTATGTTATAAGCAGCTTTATAAAAATAAAATAATTCAGTTTTAAGAATTATCATTACATATTTTCTGAGCACCTGAAGACAAGAAAATCACAATTAGATAACAGGCCTGGCTGGTGCTCAGTGGTTGAATGTTGGCCCATGAACCAGGAGGTCATGGTTTGATTCTAGGTCGGGGCACATGCCCGGGTTGTGGGCTCAATCCCCAGTAAGGGGTGTGCAGGAGGCAGCCAATTCATGGTTTTCTTCTCGTGTATGTTTCCAACTCTACATCCCTCTCCTTCCCCCCCGCCCCATATATATTTATAGTATATATATATAAAAAGGAAAAAGAAAAAAATTAGGTAACAGGAAGAAGGGGTGAGATTTTTTTTGTTAGATGCAGGTCTTAAATTCAAAGAACTTAGAAAATGTATGAGTCTTTATGGAGGGACCTGGAGAGTATTATGCTAAGTGAAATAAGCCAGTCAGAGACAGACAAGTATCGCATGATCTCACTCATATGTGAAATCTAAGGAACAAAATAGATTCAGAGACAAACAAAAGTATGGAACAGACTGTCAAATCTCAGAGGGAAGGCAGGGGATGTGGGGAAGCGGGGGAAGAAAGAGGTCATCCAAAGAACTTGAATGCATCTCTCTATATAAAAGCCCAGTGACTGATCAGCAAAATGTCCAGAATGACTGGTCGACCAGTTGCTATGACGTGCACTGACCACCAGGGGGCAGACGCTAAACGCAGGAGCTTCCCCCTGGTGGCCAGTGTGCTCCCACAGTGGGAGTCCCACTCAGCTGACCAGGATGAGCGGTGCTCCCACAGCAGACTGATCCCTGCAGGCCATGCCCCCCACCAGTGCACGAATCCATGCACCAGGCCTCTAGTATATGCATAACCCATGGACAAAGACAATAGGGTAGTGAAGGCCTGGGGAAGGGGGTGGGGTGGGGTAGAAAGGGTCAATGGGGGAAAAAGGGGACATATGTAATATTTTCAACAATAAAGATTAAAAAAAGAAAATGCATGAGTCTTAATATCACCCAGGGTGTGGGCTGACTGGCTGGAACCTGGAGTTTTAAGCTCTGAATTTCTGTTTGAATTTGCAAAGCTCTTTGTCTCAAGGTCAAGTGCAGAGGGTGGTTTTAATCTAGACCACTCTGATGGTTCAGTAGTACCCACAAAGTGATAAGATTGTGTAGATAACATGAAATTGGCAGGGGAGATTCAGTTTGAATATATGGAAGGCACCTGGCATGGTGTTCAGCACACAGTATGCATAGTTGTCTCCATCATCATTGCCTTCCTCTTTCTCTTCCTCTCCATCATCATTATGGTCATCATCAAGGTTCTATATAGTCTCTTTTTCAGCCACTGGCTTTGTGCCCACAGGCATTTGAAATTTGCCCCAAGAGCACTCATAGATGTACTATGGTGATTCCAGCTCTCCAATCATCTCATAGGAACAGAATTACCAATTAAAGTGTTCTGCTTTGAACGGATTTCTAATCTGTAGGTATGGTCATCCCAATGCCTTAACAAATGCTGGAAATGTCACTTTAATACCTGAAATCCCTCTCATTAAGCATTTAAAGTCTGTACAATACAGAAACTGTTACTAGACATATAAAGCTGAAGACAGGAATTGCTTGTGAGTGAAGCAATGATATGGAATTGGAAATGAGAAATTGTACTAAAAAAATCTCCACTCTTTTCTTCAGGTAGACTGCTCACTGCTTAAGTAAGGAAACCAAAAAGAAAACTAGGCAGCAATTAATTTGTCCCCTCAATGAAGTGAATGACAGTGATTATGTCCACATGGATGCAGATCTCCACTTTATAAAAAGCAAACATCAAACCTCTGAATCAATATGAACTTTCACCATATTTTACTTCAATTGATTCCACAGCTCAAAAAGCAAAACACAGCTGAGTAAATCATGTATGTTTTACTTGTCTGTGATACTTGTCTGTCTCTGACTGGCTTATTTCACTTAGCATAATACTCTCCAGGTCCCTCCATGAAGACTCATACATTTTCTAAGTTCTTTGAATTTAAGACCCGCATCTAACAAATTTTGAGATAAAGTACAAAACCTGACTATACCCTTTACCTAAAGTAATGAGATAAGTTTGAAGATAAAAATTCTGAAATTTAGGGAGAGGGTTCTTTTGCTGCTTTCATTAAAAACCATCTGTACTCTTAGGCTGAATGAGGTTTTATCTAACAAAGGTTAAATAACATTGCTAATGATGTCCCTTCTACAGCTACTTCTCTTTTAATTTTAAATATTTCTTTGGCATTTCAAATATAAAATCTTGATTCCTTTGCAGAATTCAGGAAGAAAATCATTCAACATCTTCATAAAATCTTCACTGTGGTCCAAAATAGGTTTATTAGACATTTCAAAATAGTTACATAGTATGATATGTACATACAATTCTGTCAAAAACATTTGGTACTTCCTACAAATTATCTATTGACATTATCTACAACTTTCCTTACATATAGAAATAGGAAACAAATCTGGGAATGTAGTTTTTTTCTTCGGTCTGTCATTGTATCAGTGTTCGGGGATGGATGTTAGATCACTCCCTACAGCTTTGAGGAAGTCATCAGGGACACCCATACTCAGTCACTATTATTCCAACTTCCTGGAAATGGTTCAGAATGAGTCCACACTCAATAAATCAGGCAGGTAAAACCTCTCTCCTTGGTGAATTCTTGTTTCTTACAATTACTTGTTGAAATTTCATTTTCAGTTATGTCTTTTGTATATTATCAATTTTTCCATCTCAAGTTTTTATGTTAAATCCCTAAACTTGTACAGTTGGTATACAGTATTTTATTAGTTATTAAAACAATTCTATCCAAAATATATAGGATCTGACCAAAATCATATTAATTGTCTAAAGACAGTAAGTGAATTTTAAATTACTTCTGTGAGGGAAGAAAGAAAAGGGGAGGTTTGTAGGTCATATAGACAAAAGAAAAGATTGGAGGTCAGTATAGCCTTGGGTATAAAAAGCTTTTGACTTAACACTGTATATAAGAAATGATAAAACTAAGCAGAATCCTCATTAAAGGCCCTAATCAAATGACTGAGTGGCAGCAAATTTTTCAGGCTTGTTTAAAAGTCAAAGGCCTTCACTCTCCAAAGATCATTTCCTACTTCAAATGAATAATCTGTGATGGAATTAAGCTAATCTCAAAGAAAAGGCACCTTTGACTATCTGGAATTAGGATATAAAAATTTAATTTACACAATGATTGGCATTTGTATCAGTTCAATTCTGAAGTTGATCATATAACTTCTTTGAGTCTCAATTTCCTTACCTACCCATTCCTTTCCAACTCTAAAGTTCTGGTTCTGTAATAATAAAATATTTTTTCTAGGAACAGCAAAGAAAAATACACTTTTCTCCATGTTCTCATGGTATACATGTACATATTTCTGTTCACTTTGCCTAGGGTTTCCCTACCTTAGCTCCCTTGATGTTACAAGGGAACTAGCATGCCCACAAACTAGGAATCCTATTGTACCTGTGAGGCTAGTCTCCGCATAGCCTCCTCCTGCCGCCTGCGCATTTCTGGAGTTCCTGGGCAGCTTCCACTGGTAATGGATGAGTGGGCTGAAGGTGGTTGTGTGAGTGGCAGCTCTCTGTTGGCATCCACATCTGGATTAAAAAGATGAGATGTTTGCATCAGACAATCATAATATAACTCTGAACTAAATAAAGACTGGTTAAATTTCATTTGTTGTATGATCCAGCAATTCTATTCCTAGGTATATACCCAAGAGAAATAAAAACAGAGGTCCATGCAAAAACTTGTACACATATACTCATAACAGCTAAAAAGTGGAAACAACCTAAATGTCCACCAACTGATGAATGGTTAAAATGTGGTATATCCATACAATGGACTATTTCTTGACAATAAAAACAAATGAGATACTGATCTATGCTACAATATGGATAGCCCTTGAAAATATTACACACAGAGAAGAAGCCAGTTACAAAAGGCTATATGTTGCATAATTCTATTTATATGAAATGCCCAGAAAACAGAGTCTATAGGGACAAAAAGTAAATTAGTGGTTACCGGGGGAGTGAAGGTAGGGAGTTAAGGGGAGACTGGAGATTGACTACTAAAGGGCATAGGATTTCTTTCAGGCTGGGGGGGAGGGGATGAAAATGTTCTAATATCCTATCTAATAAAAGAGAAACAGGGTAATTAGCCATACATCCGCTACCCTTCCCATTGGCTAATCAGGGCGATATGCAAATTAACTGCCAGCCAAGATGGCGGCCGGCAGCCAGGCAGCTTGAAGTGAACATGAGGCTTGCTTGCTTCAGTGACGGAGGACTCCAACGTTCCCTGCCTGCCTT